AAAATAGTGGTGAGGTATTTGCTTCTTATATATATAGTGGAACTTTTTTTTTTTTTTTCCCCCCATTTTCCAAAAGCTCAGCATGTGAACCGATTTCTAGCTGAGGAGATGTGCAGATCCTGGTATAACTTTATAGTCACACACCGTGACCACTATCCCATGCTCTTCCAAACGGTCTGCAAATCCTCTGTGAAGATTTACAGGACATCGTTTAAGGATCGGTAAGAGAAATTTTCCTTTGTGCAACAGATGTTTTTATTTATTTCCTAGAGTATGTTTTTTTTTATTTCTTTTAATAAAATAATAATAAAATAAACAAACAGTATCATCAAGTTATTTTTGTTTTTGTAAAGTGAAATCCTGTGAAGTCTGTCCTTACAGGTCAGATGTACCCTCAATGTACCTCAGGCTTTTTTGTCTCATTAAAAATAGAGAAGCGGTTTTCAACTAATTTGGACAGTGGAGGGCAATTTCCACCAAGTCTGATTGCGTTCAAATCCACAAGATCAATAAATCGATTCAACAGAACCTGTTTTGCAGCATGAAGTAGACGGACGGATCTCAAAGAACAACAAAGTCGTTCACATCTATTAGTCTGGAAGGAGTTCCAAAGCCAGTTCCACGACTTTGTGACTCCGACACGCTGCAATGAAAGTCACTGTTCAGAAATCGAGGAGTGACTGACTTATCAAGTTATTTTTTTGTCCAAGAGAGCATCCAAGAGGTCACAAAGAGATCAATGTTAGAATCCAAAGTACTGCAGATAAGGGTTTGTGATTGACATGACTGAATCGGAATCGTGGGAGAGTAAAGAGTCGTAACTCCATGCTGAAAAAAAAAAAAAAAAAAAGAACATAAAAGGCCACACAAACCTTTTACCACACAGCATCTCAGTGATATCAAGACTTTTGGGGAAACAGCTTTTGGACTGCAGAAACACAAGTGGAACATTTTGGAGGATGTGAATCAAGTAACATCTGGTTCAATCTAACTAAATAAAAGTGAAAGAAGAACTTCATACTTACATTAAAGCTGGGGGTGGCGGGTGTTAGTGAGATGGTCTGGAGATGCAATTGCTGGAGCCATAAATTCTGCTCTCTGCTAAAAATACTGAGGTTCATGAATCTGAGCCTGGTTTACGTAGCATAAAAGTAATCAGGAACGCACCATTGCGCTCACTTCTACATGACTCAAAACATAAAAATTGGCTGTTTTGGAGTGGCCTAATCAAAGGCATGGATATGAATCTAGTAGAGGAACTGGAGCTTGACTGTGGGCAGGACGTTATTGCTTTAAAACAGTCTGGGATTTCTGAATCAAAGTGATCTGGTAAAGAAAAGTGGGAAAAAGGTTCTCTGCAATGATGTAAAAGACTAACTGTTTTCACCCAAAAAAAATAAAAAAATTGATGATCATTGTGGTCAATGGGGGTGAAATTGTATAGTTAGTAAATAAAATAATAGTTTACAAACTGCTTGCTTCTATCACATAGAAATATTTGTTAGGACATCAGAAATATTGAAGCGTGAACAAAAGCAAAGCAAAAGAAATATGTAAGAAGCCACATTCTTCTCGCTCCATTGTTCAATATTCGAGCTGCAGAAAAAAAAAAACATTAAATGCTATAACTTGCATCTAAAAATCAGCCATCAAAGAAATAAAAAAAAAGGATTGTTATTGACTAAAATATGAGCCACAACTACTGGAGTCCCAGTTAAGCTGTATGAAGGAAAACCTTTAACTCTTTGAATTAAACTGAGGAAACATGCTAACTGAGATTAAGTTGCAAGTTTTCCATGGTTTGACTGAATACTTCCAATTGTTTGCATTAGACTCTCTTTACAGAACAACTGCAGGCAAGTGATGGTAATAATGGGCAATAGCTCTTTTTAAATGCCGGGCAGAAATTTTGTCCCACTCTTCTTTGAAGATGTTTTTTCTTTTTTAATTCAGCCATCCTGAAGAGTTATGTAAGTTCCTTTGTGGAAGATTTAATAGTGAGGCAATCTCCCAATTGGACTTCATTCATTAGTTCACAAAGGTTTGTCAAAGACATCTGCATTCCCAGTGACTGAATCACACAAATTTGATTAATTGGATGGGTGAGGAAATAACTTTGGCCAATATAGAGTTACTTTTCAGTTTGGATTTGTCATAGATCAAAATGTCAAACTTGTGGTCAAGACAAACATTTGTGGTCACGGCACAACACTCAAACTAAGGTTGAACCTCTTCTGTTTCAGTGTTTTCCTAAGTTATTGCATCTATTCTGTCACGTAACATTACCTTGCTGGCGGCTAACGTTACAAATACATAAATGCTCCAAATGAACTCGGTGCAGATGACGAGCTACTGCTCCGGAGGAAATTATGTTTTTCCTTTTCGCTGGTCGTTTTCGCACATTTCCCTCTGGAATTATTTTCCATTCTGTCACGTTTGGCGCACCAGAAGCCACTGGAAGTTTTTAACTGGAGTCAAAGGTTAACCTTCCCTACCTGTCACAACTATTTTGTGAGACTGATCGGTCTGGGAAAGGAATTCCACCCGGGACAAAAAAAAAAAAAAAAAAAAACGGACCTGAGGACCAGAAGACTTAAATTCGACATTTTCTGTAGGAGGAGAAACTCATCTCCTGCTTTTCCACTCCCTTAATACCTGGCATTGACTTGAATGAGACTGCCACCACAAGATAGCGTAGCAGTGTGACAGAAGAAAGAATTGCATGAAATACAGACAAGAAACAACTTGATGCTGTTGTGGGTAAAAAAATAAAAATAAATAATATATATATACCGGGTTCATTTTTAGAGTTACAATTAAGTTTTCCAACAGTATGCGTTTGTTGTTCATCACAGTTCATTTGATTTTGACAATTTAGTATTTTGGATTTAATATCAGTTTTCAGATAGATGACCTCGTGCCAAATATTTTATCTTTGTAAGCTGAAATTAGCTGGTTAATCAGTCAGCTAGTCAGGCAGCACTGAACTCGCCAAAGTTTTGGCTTATCTAAAATACCTTCGTGTCCACTACTACTGAACAGTGATACTCCTTGCAATGAGTGTGTTATTATTTGATATGACAGCAGAATTTGTATTCCCAGAAGGAGAATGTCTGGCCATCAATGTCAGACGTCAAGCTTAAAAGTACTTTGGTAATGCTGAAGGACAATGATTCAAATTCACTAGCCTAAGAAAAGCTGATTATTGTTTTTTTGGGGTTTTTTTTTGCAATGATGAAAACTGCATTTTGTTTCAGAAACAGAAATAATCTCAAGAGAACAGAGATGCATCTTTTTCTCCCACGGCACTTCAAAGCAGTTGTCATGGGATCGCCTCAAAGTCGAACAGGCACGAAAGGTCCTTTCAAAGTGTCACTTTAAGGAAAGTGTGACACAATAATCCGAGTTTCTCAGATCTGTCCACGCTGGTGTTAAAAACCCGCATCACATCATACTGTATTTAAAGATCCCTGTGGAAACGCAGCAACCTCTGGGTTCCTGGTCTTGTGTTTAGTGGTTCCTTTTAAACTCTTATTCTTCCAAGCAGAGATTTTTGGGCTGTTATTTTAGGATCGCGTGTGCTTACAATCCCATAACACTGTCATTTCATGAACTTTATTCGATTTCTTCTTTTTTTATGCATTAAATGATGCAAATTTTACATCCCACTTTGCAGAGCTGTGGGGCTAACTGAAGGGAAGAAGAAACACTATAGTTAGCATTACATTAATGTAGCATGCAGCTGCAAATGGTGATTTATGAGACACTTGATTCTGTTAAAAAAAATAAATAAAAAAAAAGTGAACATAATTCCCCGACAGTCCTACCACATGTGCCTTGCAGTTAAAGTGTTTCTCCCCTCGGATGCATTTTTTTCTGACACAGAAGGGACAGGAAAAGTAACATTGGCAAAAATTATGTAAAGAATTTAGCTGGAGAACCGTCGAGACTGGTGATAAATTTGTGTTTTATCCCCGGGCATCTGGGACTAATGCCGTTTATTGTTTTATATGCTGCTACTTGGCCTCTGTGACTTGGATGGATCACAATATTTCCAGCAGGGGCATGGTTTTATCTGGGGAGGCCAGGAAAACTCCTTCTGAATAACTGCCATCCAACAATTATCACTGATTATCACTTTGAGTTAGTATTTAACCTTTAGTTGTAATCATTATTTTAGGAGTGAAATTAAAACACAGCCACTGAAGGCCGAAGGTGATGAGTGCTTTTCTGAAAAATGACTCTCTAGCTCCCTCTGGAGGGCCAAGCTGCACACATAAACGCTTACTTTCTCATTCACACTCAGTGTTATAACTGCTGCAATAAATCCAGTTATTTCAAACAACTAGCATATTTCAGTACTTAAGAAATTTTAAACACATACTTTTATCACACACAGTGTTGCACTTGAAGCTTTTGTGTCTTGTAGCAGCTAATTACAAAAATGAATTCTGAAGATTGAAATATTAACTCAAACCGATTAAGAAGTGAAACTTTAAGGCAAAAATGCAAAATAAAAAAAACAGAATGGTGACTCTTGAAGCTCCAAACTCCACATTAACTTAACTTCTCCCCCCCAAAAAAAGTCCTAAATGAGGTTTGGATTGTGCTTTTTGCTTGTGGATTTTTACCCAGCTTTTCTACCTTCCACTCAACTTTCCAGAAGTATTAAACACAGCACTTTGAGCAACCGTCTTCTTCAGGATTTTCTTTTCTTTTTGTACTTAACCTCTTTGTAAGGTGTTAATGATTTCCTCCCCATGGTTGTTCAGATATTTCTGTACAATTATAATCTTACCTTTAAAAAAATATTTTGTTAGCGTTAGACTACAATCATAAAAACAGAAATTCTTATGCATATTTTACTTGACAAATGTACTGAGCTGCAGCAAAGCATCGAACTCCAGAATTTTTTCTAATCACTGGATACTTGCAAGCAGATTTTAATGCACAATAAACTCACCAACTTCAACTTTTAAGCAAAGAAAAGACAAACAAGAGCCAAATCAGCGTCTTTATTTTACAAACGCATTATTCTATGGACATTTTTTTTTAGATAATAAAAAGGCAATTTACAAGCTTAAGAACCAAAATGAAGCAGCACAGAATGATTATGAGTAAAATATATAATTTGAATAAATATATCTATTTCATGCTATAAAATAAATTCATAAATGGCAATAGATACAACGTCTATAGCTGTAGCTAGCTTCATTTACTTCATAGTTGTACAAAACAGTAGAGTTCTGAGGTTCACAGTTGGGTTGTGAGGTTGTGTGTATAGAGTGGACAAGAAAAAAAAACAAACAAACAAAAAAACTGGAGCCGGGTCGTTTCTGCTGTCACGGTTCGGGTCGTGGTCTTCGGCGGGCCTCGGGTCTCAGCTCTGTGGGAACTAAGGGCTCATCGAGAGCGTGAGGCAGAAACATTTGGGGAGTGGAGACTTGGTTCCCCGCCCGAGGAGAAGCGAACGTTTGGGATACGGACACGAAGTCGGTGTCCAAGGATATCACTTTTAGCAATATACATTTACCCTGAGTTCGAGGTTTTGTGATTAATTTTGTTTTGCCTTGTCAATAGGTACATGAGAGTCAGACACTTTATAGTGCAGAGTGTGGGGGTGGGGCGGAAAACATCCGGAGGAACTGCTCTCCGACGATCCGGAACTACAGCTTTGAATCCCGAGGAGCCGCCGGGGATCGCTGAACCTCAGCGTGTCGACAGACGGCCCACGCTCCATAACAGTGGCGATGCAGCCCCGAAAATCCCTTACATTGTTTTGCTCAGCTGGACGTGCACCTCCACAAAACGGTGCCGCTGAGCGCCCAGTTTCTGCTGCGGCTCACCGACGCCCACTGCGTTTCCGTGAGCATCTGAAACATCTCTTTAACAACAAACAGTTTCGATTGAATATTCTTTTGTTGTTGTTTTGAAAAGTAAAGTCAAACCATCCAAAGTATTAGAAAAAAAATGAAATAAAATAATAAAGATAAAGCAATATTAAAATCGTCCTGGTCCTACTTCAGCTCATCCTCTCCCTGACGTTGTTGTGTTTGATACATGACAGGCCAACATTTCCTTAGGCTTGATGATCCCAATACCCCACAATCACTCTCTCAAATAATAATAAAACAAAAGAGGTTATTGCTTTTCTTTCAATAATACACAGTGGACAGAAACTGACTGAAAAGCTATGGAAGACTTGTGATTTTTTTTTTAAGCCTGTATCAGTGTTCGTCAACTACCTGAAGTGAGTTTATTATAAAAGGAACAGGACGAGCTGCAATTTTTCAAAAGAAGTAGTCTGACAGCCTTCCTTGTAAACACTTCCTTTTGATTACTTGTGGCCCAAAATGCAGATCCGGTTCCTTTCGCAGAGGTGGACCTAAAAAACTGACTAAAGAGCCAATCTGAGAGTGTTTCAAGTTCAGTTGGTTCTGGAAGTGTGTACTATCTAAGAAGTAGCTATGGTTTATTAAAAAAACAACAACAAAAAAATAAAATAAAATAAAAAGCCTTTAAACAATTCTGCCGCCATTCACCAATCATGAATACATAATTTAATTAATAAGCTAAAAGCACCACTTAAGGGAACAACATCCCTACCTACCTACCAAAATAACAGGGAACTATTACTGAGTTCCTTAAATGTAAAGAAGGAGATAAAGTAGACTTTCCGGTTGGATCTGGTATGTAGTTTTGACAAATAGAAGTGCACAGTCAATGAAACAATTACAAGAAAAACTTAAGTTAAATCTACCAGTTAGCATTTTTATCAATTTCTGGCTGAGCAACGTGCAATTTGGCTACAGTATACGAGGATAAGCTTTTATTTTACTTTTTTTTCCCCGCACAAATGTTCATTAATTATCTGCTGAATATTCAGGCTGTTTCCTGCACCAAAATAACCCCCCCCCCCAAAAAAATAAAAAAGGAAGTAGATTGTTGTTTTTCATGCATTATCTTCCTTCACTGAAATGCTTCAAATACAGTGCAAAGCTCACATTGTCCGAGTACAGTCTGCGAACACGGGGCGGTCGGTCGGCTTGTTGGAAACAAGTCTGCCTTGTTTGATTACGATCGACTGCTACAAAGATCAGTTAAAATCAGTTGGCCCGTCCCCAGGTCCAACCCCCCAAAAAAGACTAGGTGAAAGTTAGAGGCCGGATTTAGCTGTTAATGGATTTAATTTAGGTCCAACTCATTCTTGGTGCACGCTTAACAATATTGTATTCATATCCTTTTGAATAATTTATCACTACAACCAGAAATCGCCGCATAATTTATAGAGATCTTTTTCAAATTGAAACAATGTAGTATGTAGCTGTGAAATAGAAGGAAGTATCTTTAAATGTAGAGAGAGAAATTTGAGGAGTGGCACATGGATGATTTTTTTTTTCAATGTTGGCAACAAGCTATTGAAAACAAGTGAAAGTGTGGTGGGAAAACTACCACTGCATTCACCCTGGACGCTTAATCTGTACGGTGAAATATGGTGGTGGCAGAATCATGGTGTGGGGACACTTCATTAGCAAAGGAAGTAATTGGATGTTGCGAAAGACTGAACACAGCCTGAGCCACAGCAGGATGATTAAAATGCTCAACACCTAAACGCAGATTTCAGTCCACGAGTAAACTGTTGGCAGAATCTGAAAGGCAACAGTAGTGCAGACACACCTCAAGGTAAAATTGACGTCAGCAGATTATCCACTGAGCTGGGTAGGAACAAAATGCACACCGCACTTTTCAGGTTTTGTTATTCCTTCCACCTCACAACTATGCGCTACATCGTGTTCTGACACCACAAGTGGTAAAATACGCTGGAAATGGCTGGCTGTCAGGTGGTGAAGCAATTTGATGGCAATTTTTGGGCAAGACACTAGTTTTAGTTGTGGCCATTTTATTTCATATTGTCAAGAAAGAAGCACATTTCCAAGTGCCAGAATCTAAAGTATAAAGCTTGTGGCAAGGCACGAGGTTTAGGATGCCACTGTTCTCTCTCTCTTTTTTTTTTTCTCCTTTTGCAGACTTAATAATTACGAAACCTATTGAACTTTTCTATGGCTTAAAATATAACATTACCAACTTACCTATTGAAAATGTTCGTCAAATCTTTCACAACTGATTGTTATAAGCTGAGAAACCAAACTTGCAAATAGCAATCACCTTATTCTATATTACGGAGTATTAAACTAGTATAATCAAAACGGACTCTAAAAATCACCTATTAGTCTTTGGTGTAATGTCTTGGCACAAACCTGTCAAAGATTAATTTAACAGTTTTTTTTTTCTTTTTTTTACTTATCATTCAACAGATGATTCTAATGAATATGGATGCTTTCCTTTTAGACTGGTAAAGATCATGGCAAAATTTATATTAGTCAGCGACTTATATTGATGAGGTCAGATCAGCTGACAAACCCACATGTTGTCAGCGTTTGACAGATATAAAATTGTACTTGGTAAACATTTATAGGCTGACAGACTGCTTGTGATAAGTGAAAGTGTGCGCTTCATTTGAACACACTGCTAAAGTAAAGCGAGCCAAACTGATTAAAGAGAAATTCTCCACATTTTGGTGTCACTATCTCATCCGATAAAAGCGTAAAGATGGCGTAAAGACATTCAGAGAAGTAACGAAATAAAAAATCTCACGTAATTTTAGGCAAAAGCAAATAACAGAATCTTCCACCAAACATACAATAATTAAGGAAATTATATGAAATAAACTATAATGTTACAAATTTTTTTGTTCATTGGCATAAAATTCAACATGGCCCAGATGGGAGAAAATAAAAGTCGATGATAGAAGGTGTTCTTTAAAAATACACAAACACACACGCACGCACAAAAGGCATTTAACAGCTGGATGGCAAACAAAGAAGCAGAGTAGCACAAACAGAACCACCCGGCTAAGTTTTAAACTCGCAAACAGTTAGTTTGGCACTTTAAGCGCCTTTTTATACATAGTAAGATCCCCTTCCCTGATCCCAAATAACACAATGAGTATAGATAAAAAATAAAAAAGTCATGCCACATGCATGACTTTAAGCCAATAGTATTTATACGATTTCAGAATGACAACAAAGTTTTTGTACTTTTCTCTGACTGAAGTTATACTCCAAATATGCATCAAGAACGACAAAACAAAGTTCTGCTCTTTTAATCGGTGGGCTGGCACTAAGCTGAAACCTAACTCTGCAGAGTGCACTAATACTTTTAAAAACTGACCACATTTCCACATTTGCATCTTTTAACCTTGATTCAGCTATGCCACATCTACGACAATGACACAGAGGAACACACTCCTAATCGGATTCCCCGACAAACACAACAAAACGAAATGAGCTTTTATAAGTGATGGCATATAAACTATGAGGCAATGGCTGAGATTCCTTTGTTCATTCTTTTTGCATATTGTTCAAGCTGCTCCCTAAGCCGTGCTTAGTTAACAGCAAGTACGCTTGTCTCTGTCAGATACTGAGTATTACATTGGAAGCCTTCCTCTTTATAAAACAGACACACATATGTTAATTCATTGTAAATTAGCCTACAAGGTAAAAGAGGTATACAGGTGACTTTACTTCGTAGACATATTTCACCCATTTCATGGGTGACAGTATCTAATACCACACCTGGACCAACTGAGTGAGACTTCCAGTAGTGACGTGGGATAAAATCCTGAAGTGTTTTTATAAAGAGAGAATCACCAGAAAGAAAGTAAAACGTGACATGAAATCCTAACAGGGCCAGTCTCTTAAATTGTCCGCAATATTTGCCAGAAGCACACAAGTAAGCGAGAAGATTTAATGCACTCCTAACATAGCACCTTCTTGATCATAATTTTAACCTGGCTGACCATAGACATTTGATAAGGACTTTGTCCCTAATCTATACAATCAGCAAGGAATATTTCCCACCCTAGTATCAAGGCTTTGTGTAAAAAGAATAAGTGTTACAGCGTTTGGCAATAAGATAAACTGTACATAAAAGCTAAAACGGATTTCAAACGGTGAACACGTTTGTGCCGGCTAGGTTCTTGGCTATGAGGTAGAACCCGGTGAGTGTCATTGAAGTTAAAATACTGTCTGTTATGAGTATGTAGTTGCAATATGAGGTATTAAACAGATATGTCACACGAAGCTTTGCACTGGCAGAAAAATCATTCCTTGTGAGTTAAGTGACCTCCAGTGGCCACATGTGCAAAAACAGGTCAGGTAAAAAGGTGATATGACAAGCATCTTACCAGAGCTTTCACATTATCAATTATTGCAACATGCCTATATAACTCTGTAAATATTTTTTTTTTTTTAAAAACATGGAAAGATAAAAAGAGCAATCAACTGGAGGTCTTGATTATTGGGACCACCTCAAAAATAGTACGTTGTGACTCCCTTTGCTTGAAAGAATTTCTATAATAAAGCATCCACTTTCTTTCACTCATTTTCTGCATCAATTTTACAAAAAGAAACGCTTGTATCAAGAAAGGTTTGTAGCAGAGGGATTCCAAAAAAAAGTGAGTCCTTTAGATTGAGTTGAACTAATCATATTTTAAAGCTTCCATAACCTGAAGCAGGACCTTAAAAATCACATCTCGATGCCTGAGCCTCCTCTGGACTGCATTTGGAACTCTCCTCCATATCATTGGCTGGTGCCTCTTCCGCATACTGCGCCTTATAGGCCATCCCCTCTGGTGTATCTCTCTGGTCCTTTTGACCTGAGCTATCCTCGGTTTTCTCCGGGTAGTCCGTGTGATTGCTAGCCTCCGACGCTCCCATGTGCTTCTTCCGCAGGTGTTGATTAAGGGTGCCCTGGAATGGGAAGCATTTACCACAGATCTGACAGTGGAAGGGCTTGTTGTCTGTGTGGCCACGAATGTGGTACTCCAGCTGGTCTTTCCTTGTGTACTTCTTGCCGCAGAACTTACAAACAAATGGAGTAATTCCCATGTGCAGGCGCATGTGGCGGTCCAGACTCCCTTTCTGATTGAAGGTCTTTCCACAGTAGATGCATATGAGTCTTTCGTTGTACGGGTACCACTGGCTCCGGAGGCTACGCTCTCGCACGTCATTCTCCAACCCTGCGGAGCCCACGGCTGATTCGGCATCGTCCGAAGCGGGTTTTATTTGACTCAGGACCCCTGCCGGGATAGCCACTGGGCGCTTTGATCGGGCTCTCCCACCTCTGAAGCCACTGAGGATGGAGCGAGAAGGACTGGAGTTGCTGAGGTTGACCAAGCAAGAGGAGGACAGCCCTGAGTAAGAATAGGTAGCAGGCTGGATGACTGGACCGTAGGAACCCACAGTTACAGCCACAATTTGTTCTCCGTCCACAAATTCTGTGTGGTAGCCATCGTCACCAGCTGAGGAACTATCTGAGCAAGAAGGCCTGTCATTTTTTTCTACCTTCACATGCACATCTGTGACTTGCCCATCTTTGCCAATCAGTTCTATTTGCTCAGTTTCACCTTCGATGACTGCATCATGCTCTGACACACCGTCGCTACTGCCACGATCTGATTGCCCCTCCTCTTGCTGCTGCCGCACCCGGCCCTGGGCTTTGCCTGCTTGTTCCGACCGAGCTTCACCGACTCCATGGCTCTGCCGGGAGTAATAAGGGGGGGAGATCTGGGTAGGGTTTATGAACAGGTTGCTGTCGTTTACACCATTGTGACTGATTTGCGAGCTGTCTTTATCTGGGCTACAAGCATTAACTGGGAGGCTGATCTTGGAATGGATGCTCTCCAGGATCTGGGTGCACTTATCAATGATCGCCTGCATCTGCAAAAAGCTGGCCGCAGTGAGGAAGCTGATAATATCCTTGAGCTGGAGGGACATGTGACCCGTGTAGCAAAACGCGAGGAGCTGCTCAAACACTTCAGGGCTTTTGATGACTGAAATGGAAAGGCCGCTCATGGTGTTGAGGGCTGAGTGGTCACGGAAAAAGGGTGAACTAGCCGCCAGAACGGCCTTGTGAGCTCGAAATGGTTGGCCCTGAATGTGGACGATGATGTCACACAGCTTCCCCTGCAGCCGTAGCTCGTTGAGTTGGGTCAGAACTGTGTTACTGAACTCCGGCACATCAAACTCGATGTAGCTGCCGTCGTCCATTTCTTGGATATGTTTCTCCAGTTTGTCGACAGCCTGAAAAGAACAAAAACAAAGTTTTGTTTTAATATTTTGCATGCACACACACACACATTATAATACATGCAGAAATACCATGACCCCTGTGGGAAAAAAGCAGTAACCCTTACACATGTTAGTAGCTAGAACACAATAAGCAACAAGTGAACACTTTTCTGTTGTGTGTAAGAAGGAGAACAAATGGGAAAGCTAAAGAGCTGAGGGAGTCCATATCAGGAACAAAACTATCATTTCAACCACGGCTATATAATCTATAATATTTATAAGTGTTTGACATAGATGAAATTAAACCTTTCTGGCACAACTGACCCAATAAGCTCCTCTGATGCTGAAACACTTCAAGTGGAAAGAAAACCTTAGAATTGACTCCTGCGCAAATTAGAGTGTGTTTTGAAATGTTTGCTGTGCAAAGCATTACTCCTTTCTGCCGTTTGAGATCAACAAGTTATCTCCTCATGTAGTATGCCTGCAGCTTAACAGACTTTATGCTCATAGCTGCCAGCTGTGAACTAAAGCATCGTTGACTTGATATATGTGACGGGTGGTAGCTCTTTAGTTTGCACACCATAATTCTGTTTTTCGCAGAGACAAAATATTTAAAAATAGCATTAGATGTCTTTCTTCTTATCAAAAGAAGGTGGAGAAGTATGCAAACCTTCTTTAAACAATTTGACAAGGAGGAATGTGACTGCAGAAATTTCTTAGTGGCATTACTATATGTTCGACTTCCTCCTAGCATTTCCTTAAATTGATTTAAAAACTTTGATATAGCTTGATATCATTAACCGTTTTAAAATGCACAGTGCGTCAGAGACCATTGCATAAAGGGCTGCTTAAGCAGCAGATCCTTGAGGTTAGAAATGGTTTTAGAAGCACAACTTGCTTCAAGTTTGGACTTGGCCTTTAAATTCCATAAAACTCAAATCCAATAAACATCTTATATTGTGCTGAACAAACAATTTCCATTGACGGACGTCTAACCTCACAACTTATAGGACTTCAACAATCTGTTGCCAAACGCTTAGTGGTGTAATGTAGCCCATATCATAATGGGTCAGGTCTATTTTGGTCATAACATTATGCTAAGCAGGTATATTATGATCTTGCCATGAAATTCTATACAGTGTTGGCGTTAAAAAGAAAGGAGCTGGGTACATAGTTAAACCTTAAAAGGAAACTGATGGGAAAGCAGGTAAAACTTATGCAAATCATTGTTCAAAGTCTACCTGTCAGTGACTGTAGTGAAACGTTAACAGTCATTGGAACCAGACCGAAAAAGATATACTGTACATACAGTACTATAGAAAGAAGAAAATCTGGTCCTGCCAGGAAGGTTGGCACGCACCTATTATTCTTTAGAAGGCTTGTAAAGAAAAGCTACTACAATTAGGAACAACTCATGTGGGGCAATTGCCTATGTGTGATCATCTTTCTATCATCTTTCTAGATTATGTCACTTATGACAACATTTATCAAAAAGCTTTGAGTTGAATTCAGGTGCTACGTAGCAGATATCCCCCCCCCAAAAAAACGACTATAAATTATAACTTACAATCAGGACACGTTTGCAAAGTTACTGTCTTTTACACTCACTAACGAATCCTGTTTGAGTCTCACTTTGCATAACATTAGGTTATCAAAAACATTGGTTTGAAATTAGGCATAAACTCAAAAACAGAAATGGTTCTTTACGACTATGTCTCGTAAAGAATTGCCTCAAAATGAAAGCCCAGTATGTTTACTGCAGGTAAATACAAATAACTTGTTCCAAGAGGCTGTCATTTTCTATGTTTATAATAACTGGTAAACAGCCACTCAGTGAGTACATGCTAAAAGTTTGAGGTTCATAAGAAAACTTTTATTAAAACAACTTTTGGAGAATGGAGTTTTTACAAGAAAGTAGAAGTCTGTCAGTTTTGGCCTCTTTTAAGACAAGCTTTTTATTGTAACAAATTAAAATGCCAAGAGAGAGTTATCAATTGCAAATAAGATATTTACTGCTTATACAGCTTGAACAGAAGCTCACGTCAAATACTCTGGACTATCCTCTGAGGCTGTGATAGCTGTTTAGCGTTAGCTGCTCTCTCCTACCTCCTCCACTGCCCCACATTTTTCCCTTATAACCCGAGCCGGCTATTCAGCACTATCCTATGCAAACTGAGTACTGTCAGCACACTGGGGATGTAAACACTTTCTCAGTTGCAAAAGCTTGCTAAGACATCTTTTTAAGACATCTGTCCAATGAACCTATTCTTCTACATGTATTCTTAGCAACAGAGAGACAAGCCTGTATTGAGGCATAAGAATATCTTTGGTAAGAGGGCTGATTTTCGCTCCTGTCATGACAGTTAATACATAAAACATATCCACACTGACAGACTCTTTACGACATGTAAACTGGGTGGAGCCAAATGGAAAGGCAGACAAAGAATGTAAGCTCAGTAACTAGAACGTCTGTGATGTGTGAGGATCACATGCTTGGCTTGGACGCAAAAAAACAAAACAATTGGAGCTAAGCTCATATTTCTTGCTAGATAATGAGTTTGATGCTGCTGCTACGTAAGTCCACAAAGATATATTAAAAAGATTGTCATTTAGAGGAGGGGAAAAAACGGTCAGCAGGAAAGCAGTTTATGCTTTCTTCAACATCAGCAGGCAGCCTTTGCCTACTTTGAAAAACTGTTTGTGGGCCACACCAGACATGGGACAGAACTGCTTAACAAGCACAGAATGAAGAACAATTTAAAACAGATAGCAAAGCACCCATATAAAAATAGACCACAGAGGGCCTAGGGGACAGTAAGATGTGCATAACTTTGCTGTAGTGAAAATAACACACACCCTGAAAACGACTCAGCCTTCTGTATCTAGAAATCAACATGGCACACTGAAGGTTTCACGTTGAGCCTTGTGGGTGGGTTCTCCGATTGGATTTGTTTGGAATACATCAAGCTTGTTTGTTTGTTTTTCTTCATTTCAGGCTAAATACATGTTAAACAGATGAAGAAAAATTAAAATCTTAAAACATTCGGGCCTGTCTCCATCCTCCTCATCGGTTTGTAAACAAGATACCATTAAAAAAACATCCCTAATAAATGTTTTACATTTGTTTTAGTTTGCATTATGCTTTTATTAATTTATTATTAAAAATGAGTCAACCAAATTAAGAGAGCGGACCGACTAAAGTTCCAGTTGGGTAATGCAAATTAAATTTGGTACAACATCCTTAAAACAGAAGTCAGTGGAAATAAAGTGTCCATTTGCTGTTCAGTTGCTGGAAATATCTAAATGCACAATAACTTTTACTGTAGTCCTCTTTTAGCAGGAGGGCAATTGGAGGGATGGGAGGAGTCATAACTGGTTGGTGAAATTAAACCTTAATGGGTTTTCATAGTGCAAAGTGAAAATGATAAAAGTGCTCTATCCGTGGAGTAAAAAGCAACCTATAAATATGGGAATGTGGCTTGTGGTGTGAAGTATTTTAATGGCCATTAAGGCTGTGGAAGTGATATATTTTAAGAGCACTTCACCATCTTTGGACTGATATCTGTCTGATCCTGTTTGAAAGCTGTTTGCAAAATTATTATTAATTTTTTGTTGTTGTTTTAAAGGATGATATCTAAACAAAAATGAATAGAATATCATCTACAGAAAAAATATTTAGAAATGAAGCAGAAAATGAAGTGATTGCAAGACCTTACCCAATAAACGAACCTTGATCTGATTTTCACTAAGCTCAAAAAGAACTAAAAGTTAGCCATTTGTTGCACTTTTTAGTATCTGATGTTTACATATATATAGAATAAAATATCACAAAATCATGTGCCTGAGTCAACTTTTATAAAGTTACTGCAACATGAGGCAAAAACCAAGATTACATAAAACATCTGACATTTCTATTGCACTGCAGAACAACGTTCCAAGTGACCAGTTTGCTCTATGCCTGTCAGTATAAAAATAATAAAACACAAACAGAATTAGAATCAATACAATTTAACTACTTACCACATAAAGCAAACACAGAGCTTTAATAAAAGAATGTGGGGGTTCAATACCACAAAGTTCTTGTAAACACTGCAACTAGTTTGGCAGCAACAATCTAATCTGGCATATGTTTTTGTTCAAATTAGCCTGGCTACAGTTGCAAGTGTCAAATGTCAACATTAGTACAGATTCGTGTCTACGGATATTTTTTTATTGTACTGGATTAAAAACAAATCATTGTCAAATACACAGAAGTGAACTCTGCCTTCAGTGACCCAGGAGACCTAGATTTACTGAAAAATAATATGCCATGTCCCTGCACTTTGTCCTGCCTATCTCACTTTCTTAGAACAAATTGTAACAAAGTGTGCTGCCATATTTGCCGGCCCACCTCACGCCCCAGGAAATCCAGTAAAGTTTTTTTGACAGATGGGATCTAAATGCAGCCCTGGTGCCATATCATATTTGAACAGTGAGTTTATCAAAAAAAAAAAAACTTTTACTTTGCACCCCATGTAAAGTGTAACTACTTTCCATCTGGAGTGGTGTTTTTATAAACAATAACACCTTCCTACAAGTCCACGAAAGCGTCGAGGCATTCAGTGCACACTCTGATGTGTCGACTGCCAAGGCTCACAAGAAGCAAACAGGAACAGCTTCAAACTTTAATGTACAGCGGGTAATGATGGGGGAGGAGGAGAGGGTCCGATTAGCAAAGCTGCTACCGTTGACGAGAGCTTCACTGTCACGTCGAGCTCGTTCTAATGCCAACTGCCGACTATGTCTCGCTCCAACTGAAAGCTTAAAGTCTGGTTAAAGTTACTTAACCACTTTCAGTCGATTCGGTGGGCTGGACGAGCCGCGTGTTGAGCATCAAACAAGCAGAGACTAACTAGCTACACTAGCTAGCCTACAATCTAGTTTCATGGAGAAATGGACTGCTTAAGCAAAATGTTCCAATTTGTGTTGTTCAAGCATAAATCTTGTTCTCCAGTTCATTACTATATTGGTAACTGTCAAGCCCTCGGGAGTTAATCACCAAGTTACAACGTCGAACGCGGTTGGAAACTATGTCGGCTACAATGCTAGTTAGCCAATGCTAACGCTTAGCCGTAGTTTACTAGTCACTTTCGTTTCAGCGCCTGGCGTTACCCACAGGCTAATGCTGGCTAGTAGATAGCACCTAGCGTACGGTCGTAGGTAATTACTTCGCCATTACTTACGCTGAAAAGGCACCGACGTGCCGACATAACAAACGCACTACGGTCACCAGTCCATGCCAAAGACGAAGTCCGCCACACTCACCGTCTTGAAGGTTGGCATTTAGATGCTGTCCATTCCCCTCAGCAGCTCGCTAACACTACAAGCCAGGCCTCCCCCCCCTTTTTCCAAGTCCAGATGTGTCAGGCAGTTGCTGCTGCAATTTTTGCATCAACAGGAAGTGTTCTTTAGGCTCGTTGCATTCATTCTATCTAATGTATCTTGCAGCAGAGCAGCCCCTCCCTTGCTTGTGTCAGTGCTGTACGGTGACATATTATGTTCCTAATGTATGACGGGGTGGGGGACGTTCACTCGCAGAAAATGAGAAATAAGAGTTGCCCGTGTCTTTTCCCTTGAAGTAGTTTAACTGATGGTTTGAAGGTTATGTTTTATTAAACAAAAAACAAACAAAAAAAATAGAAGAAGAAGAAATTACATCGTGCATTCCAGTCTAACTTTTTTTCAACTATAGTATAAAGTTAATATTTATTCTGTGGTAAGTAGATTTATAATTAAATTTGACATAAAAAAAGTGTTAAATTATGCTTTTTTGTTTGGAACTCTGCGTCACGTTACCATCTTTCATTTGTTTTAATGTTTCTGTTTTTGTCGTTTTGAAAACGTGAGTCTGACAAAATTGTGAATGTGCGTGTGTGTGTGTCTGCGATCTATTTCTATGTGTGCAGCTGTTTGGGTGAAAGCTCAATGAATGGGATGGAAAACAAACTTAGTGCCAGCCACAAAATAAAGGAAAATAAGCTGTGAGAATGTCTTCTGCAGTTTGGTATATTCGACAAAAAAAGGGACTTTCGACGGAAGAGTTTTAAGATACAATTGTTATTCACTTCTGCATTGAGGCCACAGAGTGGCGCCAGAGGCCAATTTGACGAAACAAACTGAGCCGAGCTCATCAGATTAACTGGATTTGTAATGGAATTATTCAATGACAGCAAAAATACCTGGGAAAGATTTAAAGACCAAATTAGGCTTGAACATGTTACATTATTTGCTGTACATGTGTTGTAGACCATGACAGGTAAACAAAGAATAAAAACAGGAATACTGTCGGATTTTTTTATGAGAAATTATACAAAACATGAATGTCTTCTGTATTCAAGATTTTGCATGTTAATACAGTATATTGCACATGTCATGCATTTACTCTCTGCACTTTTTTCTAGTTAGATGAACTATCGCTGGCCTGGATCCATACGCCTGATATAGATATTAGTGACCAAGATACTGATACTCATGGTGAGTGGTGTGTGGACATTTTGAGATTAGAATATCTAGAGACCAGTGAAGAAAATATGGATTAAATGTTATAATTACATCACAAATCACTTAATTTGCTAATTCCACTCAGGCCTACCTAATGTGACAACATTAACGATTCAACTTGTCTGATCATTTCTGTATCCATTTCAGTGTTGATGGTAAGTCTCTTTTCAAACACTTTACTGTTTATTCTGTGTTTAATCTGAGTAATAATTCTTGGCTGCCTGTTTTCTTGATAGCGAAAAGGACAAGTAAGCCCCTGTTCTCTATTCTCTGCAGAACTTTATCTGTTCTCCCCGAAGAGGAGAAGGAAGGATGAATGTGCACTGTGTGGATTTCTGTTTTTCTTTTTTCTTACTAGCCTGAGTGACAACTTGGCAGCTCAGGTAAATATCTGACCTAATCTGTGTGCAGGTGGGTGATCAACATTGAGAAAGGAATCGCTTTGTCATTGCACGTGTGTCTTGTTAAACAAGCCAGTGTTTCATTCTCCACAGTGAGTTCCCCACCTTCCCATCCCCGCATTTTTTATTTATTTTTTTCCAGGAGACCAACGCACAAGTGAGCGTGCAGCCAAAGTATGGCGATTAGAAATGCTTTTTGTCGATCCGCAGGAATGATCATGATATTGATAACGTTTCAAGCAAACCTGCAATCAAAGAGTTTCTTGTTGAAGTTGTAATCTTTTCTGAAGCGGGGCTTTGTGAGAGCTCAGTGTCGTTTGGTCGACCGAGTATTTTCTGGCAGCATGCTAACGTGGATGGCTTTGAATGCAGCAGCGCCCGGGATCGATTGCGGGAGGCGGGGGGTCTCCAGGTGGTGTGGCCTGGGGCTCTGATGTGCTGCCCCTTTTTAATCCCAGATGACATTGCAAAATCCTCAAACTCCATGGTCTTGTATAAGACTGTATAGAAGCAGAGACCAGGTGATTTGTTTAAAAAGCACATATCATGTGTCAGACTGGGGGGAATAAGGAGCTCCACTGTTTTGTGTTTAACTTGAGACCATAGCTCATGCTTACTAAGAAGACAGGCATTTTTTACAAATGCATGTGGGTCCAGTCATATTTGGACCAGAATTATATTTTGGTGTGTTGAGTCATTATTGTTGTGCTAATTGCAATAATCTCAAAGTATCCATTGGGTTGCAAATTAATTCCCTACAATCTGAAGTGATTTAACTCCAAATCATATTAAGTGATTTTTCAGAGTCCAGATTCACAACGTCAACCGCAATTTGTTATGAATATCCAGTCCCCTTTTTAAAGTTAGCATGAATGACACATTGTTTCCGACGAGTGCCGAGAAGTTCCAGAATACCTTGGCTGTCACTGCTGGTGAGAACAATGGTCTCCCAGTCTTCTTATCCAGAAAAAAAAAAAAAGTAGTCTATAGTTCACTGATGGAGAACATATTTGCCAGTAGCAGGTGTCCGAGCCAGTCAGAGCTTGATCCTCACCATGGCTGTAAATAAAAGGCCCAGCTCGGCCAGGTGCAGGAACGCCTGCTCCGACCCTCTCAGGTTTCTCCCTGATGGAGAAGGCTGGTGTGATAGAACTGACACGAGTAATAAAATGAACAGCGAAAATTACTCTAAAACTTAAGAGTGCCTTCCAGGTATTCATACTGCATGAATTTTTCACCACCTTGTCATGCAATAACCACAAACTTAAGTGTTTCCTTTTTTTTTTTTTTTTTTTTTTCCTGAGTTGTTCATAATTATGACACGGAAGGAAAATGCTTTTCTGAAGAGGGAAAATCTGACAAACATGACATGCATTTGTCTCAAGCTCCCTTTTGTTTGCTGCTCTGAAATTGAATTCTGTAACCAAAAAAAAGTCTTTAGGATACCTTTAATATGAAAAAAAGAGTCCCATTGTGTTGCTTATTGGAAGACCTCAGAGAACATTAGCGACCAAACAGCATCATGGAGACCAAGAAATAAAGCAGACAGGAAGAGCTGCAGAAAACCACAACTCAGGTGAGTTGATCTATTGGCAGGGAAACTAAGAGTCCTGGAGCCCAATCCTGTTAACTTGCAACCCAAGTGGAGCTCCAGCTCATTTGGACAGGTGGTTTTACCATTGTATGCTCTGCATAATGACTGCTGGAAAAGACAAGTGTTTTGGTGTTGACTTCCCATTTTGAAACCAGCGGGCTCTACTTCTGATTTCAAGATGTACGATTGTATGATTGCTCATCTGTTTGCAGTCATTTTCACATACCAGCGGACGCTTATTTGGATTTAAAGTGACAGAGCCCTAAAACAGTAAATTCTGAAAGGAACTCAAAATGAGCAGTTTAAAATCTCTTTATATAAAAATGATTTGTACATGAAATTTAATGAATATGTTCAGTCTATGCCAAAGCTTAAGATAGCAGACCTATCTTAACCTTTTGTTGTTGTTTTTTTTAAATCCTCAAGACATTTTGTTGGCTGGTCAGATGACACCCAAAATATATATTTTTTGCCTGGATGTAAAATGCTGAGCAAGTAGATAAAAAAAAACACAGTGCATTACTCTGAATGCCCAGAGCATACCAGGAAACATTGTGGTGGCAGCAGCATGCTACAGGCGTGCTTTGTTTTCAACAGGAACAAGGAACTGGTTGGAGTTAATGGGAGGTCGGATGGAGCTAAACACGGGGCAAATCCAGGAGAAAACTAGATAGAAGCTTCAAAAGTCCTAAAACTGGAGCAAATGTTCATGTTCTACCAAGACAGTGACCCTGAACATGCAGCCAGTGGCACAATACACAGGTGTAGATCAACGCATTAGCATGAGTTAAAATTACCCACTCAAAGTCCAGGCCCAGATGTAATTGAGAATATGTGGCAAGACTTGAAAAGGAATGTCCACATATCCAAGCCAAAAGACTTGCAGGTTAATTTGCAGTAAAGGCTGTTTCCACAAAGTACTGACTCAGGTGGGCTGAGCAGTGATGGAAGCACTGTTAAAATGTGAAGGGACATGTATTCAATTGCAACGTGTTGTGTGTCACTATGTACAGTGAGTGCGTGAAGGTTTTTTTTTTCAAAGTCGTCTGTATTTTTACGCACTTCAGTCGAAGACAATTTTACGTATTTTTTCATGAAAAATAGAATAACTTCATGAGACATTTGCCTACCTCCGTCACTTAACAGATTCTTACTTTAATTTGAAAGCCAGCTGGATTCCAGCTTAAAGCCATTCGAGACGAAGCTGCAGTTGTAAGAGAAGGGTTTTGCCGGCGAGCGCAATAATCACTGGCATTGCAAAGATGATGAGTTCTCAGATGTGTCATTTATTTGCCTGAGAAATTAAGCCAATTTGTGAAAATGGTGGCCGGGGGTTGCAGGAGTACAGAGCGGCTTGTAAAGATGAGTGATATCTGGCACAGCTTGAAGAGAATGAGAGGTGTGTTGCCCGGTGCTTAGCTCAAATGAAAGCTCTGATTAGTGGAGCAAAGATCAAAATGACTGAGCGGCAGAGGCTTCAGCTGGGCCTTTGTTATTGATAAGTCTGTCATCTCTGCTGATATTGGGGCAGTAATGGCAGCTGATGATTAGGCCACTCTTGAGCTATTAACTACATTTCTTATCCCTTTACTGGGGCCCAGGAGATCCTGCTTGAGAGACAATGGCATCCTTTATAGTGCTGGCTCCTCAAGCGGCGTCCACCTGACCTAAAAGGCGCAACTGTTACGTCTCTCCGCCCGGCCAAAGGGAGGCCAGGGGACGAGATGCAGGTCAGAGGTCGCGGCGGGCCGCTGTTTGAAATGAAGGGGTTCTGAGTGAGTGAGCTGCTGAAAGAGGGTCGGAGCAAAATTACAGAAAATTGGCTGTTTTGTCGACATTTCATCAGCAGATTTACAGAAAGCTGACCCCGACCCTTTTCTCCGCCGCTCTTTCACATCACTAAGGAGATTGCGCGGGTCGGAATTGACTGACAAACAAATCTCTTCTTTATTTCTTTCTCGCTTTCTCTTGCCTC